AGTTGCAGCTCATGAAAAGGCACAAACATCATCCTCTGTCAATGAGAGGAGGTTGATCTAGATGATTTGATGGATGTAAGTTGTAAATTCATGTTTATTGTATAACATATGTTTTTAATCAAAATTTTCATTTTAATTCCACTTTTATGTAACTGTATATCAGGATCCTGAGCTGGAAAAGCTGCATGCAGATAGGATTGCAGCTCTTAAGGTTGCAATTTGATTATTATAATGCAACACAAGTAGAAAATGAAATTTGGAAAGTCTTTTTAAGGTCTCATTTGCCTTTTATGGTTTTTATTAAATTTTTTGTTGGAAAAGAGAGAAGCTGAAAAGAGACAATCATTAACAAAAAAAGGGCATGGAGAGTATAGGGAGATAACTGAAGGAGACTTTTTGGGTGAAGTCACTACCAGTGAAAAGGTGATTTGCCATTTCTACCATCGGGAGTTCTATCGCTGCAAGTAAATGACCATTTTGCCCTTTCAAGACTCCTAACAAACAATTTTCACCATATACTTTCTTGATATGTATAATATCTGTTATTATAGGATAATGGATAAGCATTTGAAGTCTCTTGCAACAAGTCATCTTGATGCCAAATTTGTTAAGCTAGATGCAGAGGTTTGTATTATCATTATTAACATCAATTTTTTTATTCTCTCTCTCTCTCTCTCTATATATATATATATATATATATATATATATATATATATATATATATATATGTTTTTTTAACATTTTTAAATATTACGTACAGAATGCCCCGTTCTTTGTGACAAAACTAGGAATCAAGACATTGCCATGTGTGATATTGTTCAGGTCAGACATGTTTGTTTTCCTTTTCTATGTTATATTTTATGGGATTAAAAATTCAACTTTTTTTTTTTTTTTGTCTCAGAAAAGGAATTGCAGGAGATAGGCTTGTTGGGTTTCAAGATCTTGGAGGAAAAGACGATTTCAGCACAAGGAAGTTAGAAGCTTTATTGATCAAGAAAGGTAACATTTTTTCTTTCTAAAAGTTCATGTACTTTAAAAAAAAAACATATATATAAAAAGGGAAAAAAAAAAAAAAAGGGTTAAATGAAAGTAGGATGCTATGAAAAATAAATAAATGAAATTATGTTTTGTGTAGGTATAATTGAGGAGAAGAAAAAAGATGAGGATGAAGAAGCTGAATATGATGAAAGTAGACGTAGGACAGTTAGATACTCTGGAATTCATGATTCCGACTCTGAATAACAAAAAAAGGAGAAAAACTAAAATGACTCTATTTCTCAAAAGTATTAATTCCATTTCCAAATCTTATATGTTATATATGTATAATTAAATGTTTGCAAATTTGATATATGGTGTGTTTGAATTTAAATAGTTGCTATCTAGTTCATCATCAAAATGTATGTATTTGATGATGGCAAGTTTATTAAACTGACGTAGAAGAAGGCTATGTGTTGATTAATGTGGTACACTGACTCGATAGTTGGTTAGATTTGTATGGATTGAAACTGTAATTTTGTAATTTCTTGTGGGAAAAAATTGGAAATTTGTATGACTCGATTGTTATAGTTCGAATTGTCTTTTCTCATCTATATCAACATATTATTTTTATAAAAAAAGCAAATAAAATGTTATTAGGCAGTTTATTTTTTTGGCAGAGAAATTTTTTTATCAAGTGTATCAATATGTAGAACAGAATTTTGGGTTTTTATTGAGTGTATCGATACGTAAAACAAAATTATGGACAGTGGACGGGTGTGATAAAAAAAATATTGATTTTATTTTCATCTGTTGCATCGGTATGTAATTTATTATTATACATTGTATGATGATAACAAATTTATCCAAATAAACAACAATAAAATAAAAAGATTATCATCAATTAAAACACAATTTAATGAAATTAAGTTAATATATATATATATATAAAATATCATAATTTGACCTTGTCATCATGTTATTTAAAACATTTTGTCAACAGATTCATAGAAGTAATTTGTTGATTTACCGACAACAAATTAGCATTTGAATAATTTTAAACTCATACAAAACAAATAAAATTTGATTAATTATTAGATTGTACATAACTTATTTTATGAAACTCAAAATTTAAACATGTCTAAATCATTTGATTTACATCTTAAGTAATTAGATTGTACATAATCAATTTTATGAAACTCTAAATTTAATATAACGCTCTGTTTCGAATCATTTTCTATTTTGGGGTGGTGATCAGAGATTGGGTATTAGTAGACTTAGCACCCTTGAGGAATTGAGATTTGGACTCATTTGAGTTGGATAATGTAATTTGGATGAACTAGGTATTCGGTTCATGTTTTAGAGTCAAAGGGTATTGATAAAAAAAATATTGATTTTATTTTCATCTGTTGCATCGGTATGTAATTTATTATTATACATTGTATGATGATAACAAATTTATCCAAATAAACAACAATAAAATAAAAAGATTATCATCAATTAAAACACAATTTAATGAAATTAAGTTAATATATATATATATAAAATATCATAATTTGACCTTGTCATCATGTTATTTAAAACATTTTGTCAACAGATTCATAGAAGTAATTTGTTGATTTACCGACAACAAATTAGCATTTGAATAATTTTAAACTCATACAAAACAAATAAAATTTGATTAATCATTAGATTGTACATAACTTATTTTATGAAACTCAAAATTTAAACATGTCTAAATCATTTGATTTACATCTTAAGTAATTAGATTGTACATAATCAATTTTATGAAACTCTAAATTTAATATAACGCTCTGTTTCGAATCATTTTCTATTTTGGGGTGGTGATCAGAGATTGGGTATTAGTAGACTTAGCACCCTTGAGGAATTGAGATTTGGACTCATTTGAGTTGGATAATGTAATTTGGATGAACTAGGTATTCGGTTCATGTTTTAGAGTCAAAGGGTATTTCGGTAATTTGTCAGCTTGGGCTTCTATGGAAAATGGATGTTTGTTCGTGATTTGGTAAGCCATGTATGACTTGATTGAAGTTTAGAGCTTCTCGTTACATTTTTATGGATATAAGGATCATCGGAATCAGAATTATAACGAAAAAGTTATGGTCTTTGGAATATGATAGGGTTTGTGGGGAAACCTTACTACGCGGGGCATACTCATGCGAAGGGCATTACGTTGCGCGTAATGTTGAGTACGCTCAGCATACTGCGAGGGTCATATCGGGTTTGTGAGACCTCATACGCTGGGCGTACGAGGAGTGCGCGGGGCATACGAGGGGAAAGGGCAAACCTTAATTTTTGGGTGTGTATCCTATATAAGCTTATTAAGTCTTTAGGGTTGACCTTTTTACCAACATCCAAGCCCACAAAACCTATAAATCGTCTCTAAGCCTCCATGGTTGTAATTTTGAGCTCATGATGTGCATTTTGGTGTTTTGGGTCATTTCCAATAAGTTCGAGTTCGATGCAAGGTTGTGAATCAAGGATGAGCTTATGGATTTGGATTATGTGCTTCGTTTCCAACTTGTTTAAGGTAAAAAGCCTTGATCCTGTTCATTGTTGGCTTAGATCTAGTTTGTATGAGTTTTTGGTTTATTTTGGTCCCAGTAATGAGATCTAGTGGTTTGGTACCACTCCATGAGCTATGAATTGCCACTCTTGGTGTTTCTGAGGTTCTAGATGATTAAAGTTGTCTTATTTAGGGTTTGGAATCTCCCATGCTTGAGATAGTGTCCATTTTGTGAAAGTATAATGCTTTATTTTGATGTTGGATTCTTTTGGGGCACGCAAAGTCATTGAGTCAATGACTTTATGGTTCTAGACATTTAGGGTTTGGAATCTCCCATGCTTGAGATAGTCGCCCTTTACCTCTCTTACGCAAAAAGGCGTACCATTCAAATGGACAGACAAACAAGAGAATGCGTTTTGGACATTAAAGCAAGCTCTCTGTAACGCCCCTGTACTATCTCTACCGGAAGGAACGGAAGATTTTGTAGTCTACTGCGACGCGTCAAATCAGGGCTTAGATTGCGTCCTCATGCAACGTGGAAGGGTGATAGCATATGTATCCCGTCAACTAAAGACGCACGAAGTAAATTATACGACCCATGACCTAGAATTGGGAGTCGTGGTCTTCGCTCTGAAATTTTGGAGACACTACCTGTACGGTACGAAGTGCACCATCTTCACGGACCACAAGAGTCTCCAACACATCTTGAACCATAAGGAGCTGAACATGAGGCAACGAAGATGGGTTGAATTGCTAAACGATTATGAGTGCGAGATCAAGTACCATCCAGGCAAGGCCAACGTGGTAGCTGATGCATTAAATCGGAAGGAGTACTCTAATCGTCGTACAAAAACTCTCTCAATAGCCATTCAATCTCACCTAGCCACTCAAATTGCAGTAGTCCAGTCGGAGGCCATGAAGACGGAAAATAGAGAAAGTGAAGCACTGCGCGGAATGGAGAAGAACCTAGAGGCAAAGGAGAATGGAGTATACTATTTCATGAACCGTATTTGGGTCCCTAAACTCGGAGGATTTAGAGAAGTTGTTATGAAAGAAGCCCACAAGACACGATACTCCATTCATCCCGGTTCAGACAAGATGTATTTGGACATTAAACAACATTATTGGTGGCCTAACATGAAGACGGAAATTGCGACCTACGTTAGCAAGTGCCTTACGTGCGGCAAGGTAAAGGTGGAGTACCAGAAACCCTCAGGATTGTTACAGCAACCGGTAATCCCGGAGTGGAAATGGGAGAGGATTTCGATGGATTTCGTGACCAAGCTACCCAAGACGTCGGACGGACTGGACGCCATATGGGTAATAGTCGAACGACTGACGAAGTCTGTCCATTTCCTGCCTATAAAAGAATCCTACAAGATGGAAAGATTGACACGTCTGTACATTCGAGAGATCATGAGACTCCACGGAATACCAGTATCTATCATCTCGGATAGGGACAGTAGGTTCACGTCACGATTTTGGTAATCACTCCATAAGGCGATGGGAACAAACCTCGACATGAGCACCGCTTATCATCCACAAACGGATGGTCAAAGCGATCGAACCATCCAAACGCTCAAAGACATGCTCCGCGCATGCGTGATAGACTTTGGGAAGTCTTGGGATACCCACCTACCTTTAATCGAGCTCTCATATAACAATAGTTATCACTCGAGCATCAAGGTGGATCCTTTCGAAGCACTGTACGGGCGTAAGTGTAGATCACCGTTATGTTGGGCTGAAGTAGGTGACACCCAGCTAGCAAAAACACATACATTGGACAAAGCACTAACGGGACCGGAGATCATTCGCGAAACCACGGAAAATATCGTTCAAATCAAAGCACGATTGCAAGCATCGCGTGACCGACAAAAGAGCTACGCTGATAAACGGCGAAAGCCCTTAGAATTTCAGGTCGGGGATCGAGTACTGTTGAAAGTCTCACCCTGTAAAGGGGTTATACGTTTCGGAAAACAGGGAAAGTTGAACCCACGATACATTGGACCTTTCGAAATCGTCGCCCGAATAGGTCCGGTAGCCTACAGACTGCAACTACCCGCAGAGCTAAATGGTGTACACCCCGTGTTTCATGTCTCTAATCTGAAGAAGTGCCTCTCTGATGAAACCCTCGTCATTCCTCTTGACGAGATAGAAATCAATGAGAATCTCCTGTTCGTTGAAGAACCAATTGAAATCATGGACAGGGAGGTGAAGCGTACTAAGCAAAGTCGCATCCCGATCATGAAAGTACGGTGGAACGCAAAGCGTGGACCAGAATTCACGTGGGAACGCGAAGACCAAATGAAGCGAAAGTACCCTCACCTATTCTAGCATTCTCAAATCTAGCATTCAAACAGAATTTCGGGACGAAATTCCCTCTAACGGGGGGATGATGTCACAACTAGAAATTTTATGTTTTGTAATCACTATACTTAAGTAAAACATTGAACCAGAAACATAAGATCATGTGTGATTCCTTCAGAAACTTCAATAAAATACATCATACCAGTACTTCAAATAGTCAACAAACAATTGGAAACCCTAGAAGTTCTTGTTTAGGTCAATTTTAGACTAAGACTTCCTTATTGGACTCAATGGACCAATAAGCTTCCAATTTGACTATCATGGGCTTAGAACCCTTAATTGGGCTCTAATTGGACCCACATTTATTTATTTCAACATTTTGGGCCATATTGGGCCTAGAATGAAATAAATTAAGAGTTTTGAACCATGAATA